AGGTGGCTAGGGGGTGGAACCAAAGGACATGCTCAGAGGTGGGTAGAGGGTGGAAACAAAAAATTACTCAAAAGTGGGGAGTTCCTGCAACTATTCCCTGAGAAAAATAGCCCTGAGCGTACCTGTACATTGCTGCCCATTTCCGGGTTCAGGGCGCACACGCGAGCTCCCCTGCTGGCTCCCACTGTGATTGGACATAACAGGATTTTGTCAGCAGGTTCCAGCCAATGATTCATGGCCGGGACTTGCTGACTGTGTCCAATCACAGCCCAGAGACCTGCGTTGACAAACAACACAGAGCTCTGTACAGAGGGAACATAGGGGTTGATTCACTAAAGACGAATAGACTGTGCACTTTGCAAAGTGCAGTTGCTCCAGAGGTAGAGCTTCCCTTTACCTAGAATACCCAATCACGTGCAAGGAAAATAGAAAAAAACAGCATTGTTGCTTGTGCACGATTGGATGATGAGAGTCAGCAAACCATTTGTTCATTTACTAAGCTCTGGAGCAACTGCACTTGCAGAGTGCACAGTCTAATTGCCTTTTAGTAAATCAACCCCAAAGTCTTTGTTTCTTCTGCCTACAAAGCAGGAAGAAAAAACAAAGCATACACAAACACAGTTAATCCCTTGATTGCCCCGAGATGTTAACCCCTTCCAAGCCACTAGTACAGTGACAGTGTATAGTATTATCACCGATTATTGTATTAGTGTCACTGGTAATGTCAGTGTCAGCCAGTTAGTTCCCACCATATTCAGTTAGTGTCAGATTGCCCGCTGCACTATCACAGTCCCACTATAAGTCGCTGATCGCCGCCATTACTAGTATAAAAATAAATAAATAGAAATTATATATATCATAGTTTTTTAGATGTTATAACGTTCACAAAAACCAATTAATATACACTTATAGAAATTGTTTTTTTTTTGTACCAAAGACATGTAGCAGAATATATTTTGGCCTAAATTTGTTCGTTTTTTTTATTTTTTTATTGGATATGTTTTATACATGCACAAAAATCTGGGTGTAAGCCAAGTGCTGGAAGTTAGGGAGGCCTTACCCAGACCCCGTATGATATCTCACCTGAAGCCATAGACAAAGACACTCATACATTCAGAGAACGTTTCTTGAATCATTAGGAGAGCCTGCAAGGAGAATATATATATAATTACTGATTTGTCCTGTCAAAATTTAAAGAGCTAGTATTCAGTTCTAGAAATTTCATTAAAGTGCAAGTAAAATCCAAAGTTTTTTATTTCGTATGAAGAGAATGTAGAAGGATTGGAACCTCCGTCAGGTTTTTTGCTGCTATCCAGCTTGATAGGGAGATTTTCCCTCATTTTTTTGTCCTGCCAACAACCTTTTCACTAGATAGGTAGCGAGGGAGAATCTCCAACATCTACACAGGCAGAAACAATACTAGAAAAAGCAAATGTATTAATATGGAGTCAACAAACACAGCGCACATCTCTCCCGGTGACCGATTTCCTCTTCAGGGAAACTATAATGTTTCCTTTTTATTATTTATTTATTTTTTATAGTTTACAACTTTATAAGATAATGATTTCTCTAATTTTTTTATCATAATTTATATACAAGTATTATTTTAAAAAGATACCTCTCTATAACATCAGTTTGCAGCAGACTTGTTGTGGATGCAGCACACGGTCAGCAGAGCCTGCACGCTTGTTGGCTGCCTTTGTCTAACTGAAAACCCAGATGGGTACTAATGCTGCTAGGAGAGAGGGAGGGATGTCTCCATCCTCTGAGCCACTCAGCTATGTGTATGTGCTTCATCTGTCGTGCTGCCATTCAGGACTATTCACACAATAGTTACATATAGTTACATAGTTAGTAAAAAGACAAAAGTCCAGTTCAACCATTTAAAAATCCTACACCCACAGTTGATCCAGAGGAAGGCAAAAAACCCAGCAAAGTATGATCTAATTTGCTCCTGCAGGGGAAAGAATTCCTTCCTGATCCCCCGAGAGGCAATCAGATATTCCCTGGATCAACTTTCCCTATAAATGTTATATCCAGTTATATTCTGTGTATCCAAGAAAGAATCCAGGACTTTCCTACAGCAATCCACTGAGCTGGCCACAACCAACTCTTGAGGGAGTCTATTCCACATTCTCACAGCTATTACTGTGAAGAAACCTTTCCGTGTTTAGAGATTACCATAACTAGACTAATCACAACAAACAATAAAGCATTTTTTAAAAGCAAAGTTTTTTCATTAGAATAATGAACATGTTATACTCCCCTCCTCTTTCTGGGGGGTGATCTTGCCCTATGTCTGCCCCCCCCCCAAAGCAAGCAGCTTGCTATGGGGGCAGAGGTGCAGGCTCGCTCCTGAGCTGGGCTGTGTACATCCATAGACACACACAGAGCGCCACTTGGCCCCACCCTCCCTTCTGTGTCTGTCCCCATAGCAAGCTGCTTGCTAAGTGGGCGAATGTGTGGGCTTGCTCTAGAGCAGTGGTCTCCTAACTACGGCCTGGGAGCCAGATGTGGCCCTTGGCTTGCTTTTATATGGCCCTTGGGGCACTATTTTATCCACTGATACCAACAACGGGGTATAATTCCCTCCACTGACACCAAGTGTGGGGCACTATTCCTCACAATGACACCAACAATGGGGCCCAATGACACCAATGATGGGACACTCACAATGACACCAACAATGGGGTGCTGTTCCTCCCACTGATATCAACAAAGGGGCATGGTTTACTCCCACTGACATCTGAGCTTTTCTACTCCCACTGGTCACAGTCCGGCCCTCTTGAAGTCTAGAGGACAGTAAACTGGCCCTTTGTTTAGAAAGTTTAAGAACCCCTGCTCTAGAGCCGGGATATGTGCATCCATAGACACACACAGAAACCGCTCGGCCCTGCCCCCAGATCTCTGCTCACAGGATTTTACTGACAGCAGTATTGAAGGATGGTGATCATATGAAGCCATTTATTATCAAATAGTTGTTTGGCTCCTTTTTGAATCCAAATGATAACAGAAATCACCCAAATGGCCCGGATCAGAAGTCTCCCGCCTCCCGGATCAGAAGTCTCCGCCTCCTGGATCAGAAGTCTCCGTCTCCCGGATCAGAAGTTTCCCTCCCCTGGAATGTTTGGCCTTGGTACAGACACACAAGGAGACACACACAGGGTAAAATGCCACCTTTATAAAGTTCTATTACCTTGTTACACAGGACTTTTGGCAGTTCTTTTCTGCTCCCCATGGCTCAGTATCTAGCCTAGTCAGTGCATCCACGTGAGAGCTAACAAACTCATTGACTATTTATACACTGACACTAATTGCAATTTAAAAAGCCGCCGATGTGGGACATTAACCTCTAATTGGCATTTTTACCCGTGTGTGTCACCTTGTGTGTCTGTACCAAGGCCAAACATTCCAGGGGGAGGAGACTTTTGATCTGGGGGGGGCGGAAACTTCTGATCCGGGGGGCAGAGACTTCTGATTTCTGGGGTGGATACTTCTGATCCGGGGGGCGGAGACTTCTCATCCATGGGGCGGAGACTTCTGATCCATGGGGCGGAGACTTCTCATCCTTGGGGCGGAGACTTCTGATCCATGGGGCGGAGACTTCTGATCCGGGCCATTTGGGTGATTTCTCTTATCAATATGATTTAAAAAGGAGCCAAACAACTATGTGATAATAAATGGCTTCATATGACCCTCATCCTTCAATAAAAGAGCATTTTTTGGTAGATCAGTCATATTTTCAATATCAATGCCAAAATTTCACAATTTCTGCCGGGGGATGCAAACTTTTGAGCAAACTGTTCTTTGGCCTTCTAGGTTGTAATACATTATTGATTTGCTGGAGGACTATCTCTGAGGGGATAATGCTCCATCTTGTCCTGCAGCATATAAACTGTCCTATGAATTATTTTCTCCTACAGGGGAGCAACAACAAAGATCTGCACTTTGGTTAGATTTCTAATGTGCTAACCATTTGTGAATATTTTAGTGGTAGGGCTCTACCCAGTTAGGCTGTATGTGTGTGAATCAGGGGCCTTCTGACAACTCATGGGGCCCCCGGGCAATAGGGGATCATTGGAATCCTGTGTCCTTGCCCACACTCAAACCACACCCAAAAAAGCCTATGAAAAACCAATGAAAGGTACCAGGGGTATCTCATGGGGCCCCCTACTGACCCCGAGCCCTTGGGCAGTGGCCCGAGTGCCGAATGGTCAGTCCGCCCTTTGTGTGAATATATACTGTAAGAGGTCTGACACCTGATTTGGTCCTGATACGACTTGGTGTCAGTCTCCTGCTACACTGTACAACATTTGCATTCAAATGTTTGCACTTGTTCAAATTACTTATTTTTTTACTATGTGGAATGCAACATAGAAAACTTTGTTACACTGTTATTTCCCCATCCCCGTCCTTTGTTGTTGCTGTTGTTGTTGTTTTTTTATACTCACATATTTCCTAATCTTTTCACTGAGGTCCTGGTAAGGTGTGGATGTAGGAATATTATATTCTTCTATGAATTGCAGATCCAATATAATAATGAAAAAATAGATCACAGTTTTCTGTCTAGTAGTTGTGGGCTTAATTGCCGGTGTAGTTGTTGGTATTGTAGTCGTGGTCATTGCTGACGGTGTCATCAATACTGTTGTAGTAGTAGTAGTGCTGAAGTTGTATTCTGTGCTGCTGGAGTTGGTGTAGCAGCAGTTGTTGTCACTGCAGTTGTCAGAGCCGCTGTAGTTGTAGTTGCTTTTGCTGTTGAAGGTGGTGCTGCTTTTGAGGTGGGTGCAGCAGTTCTACTTTGTGTTTCTGTAGTTGTGGTTTCCGTACTCATTACTGATGTTGTAGGTGCTGAAGTTGTGAATGGTGCTAACATAGTTGTAGTCAATGCTGCTGTAGTTGCTGATGATGTTGGAGTCAGTGCTACTGCAGTTGTAGAAGCTGTGGTTGTGACCGCCGCAGTTTTAGGCAGTGCTGCAGCTGTAGTTGGTACTTCTGTAGTTGTAGGCGGGGCAGTTGTAGTTTGTACTCCTGTAGTTGTAGGTTGGGCAGTTGTAGTTGGGACCGCTGGAGTTGTAGATGGGACAGTTGTAGTTGGCACTTCTGTAATTGTAGGTGGGGCAGTTGTAGTTGGCACCGCAGCTGAAGTTGGTACCGCTGTAGTTGTAGGTGGGGCAGTTGTAGTTGGTACTCCTGCAGTTGTAGGTGGGGCAGTTGTAGTTGGTACTCCTGCAGTTGTAGGTGGGGCAGTTGTAGTTGGTACTGCTGTAGTTGTAGGTGGGGCAGTTGCAGTTGGTACTCCTGTAGTTGTAGGTGAGGCAGTTGTAGATGGTACCACTGTAGTTGTAGGTGAGGCAGTTGTAGTTGGTACTCCTGTAGTTGTAGGTGGGACAGATGCAGTTGGTACTTCTGTAGTTGTACGTGGGGCAGTTGTAGTTGGTACTGCTGTAGTTGTAGGTGGGACAGTTGCAGTTGGTACTTCTGTAGTTGTAGGTGGGGCAGTTGTAGTTGGTACTCCTGTAGTTGTAGGTGGGGCAGTTGTAGTTTGTACTCCTGTAGTTGTAGGTGAGGCAGTTGTAGTTGGTACTGCTGTAGTTGTAGGTGGGGCAGTTGTAGTTGGTACTCCTGTAGTTGTAGGTGGGGCAGTTGTAGTTTGTACTCCTGTAGTTGTTGGTTGGGCAGTTGTAGTTGGTACTCCGGTAGTTGTAGGTGGGGCAGTTGCAGTTGGTACTCCTGTAGTTGTAGGCGGGGCAGTTGTAGTTGGTACTTCTGTAGTTGTAGGTGGGGCAGTTGTAGTTGGTACTCCTGTAGTTGTAGGTGGGGCAGTTGTAGTTGGTACTCCTGTAGTTGTAGGTGGGGCAGTTGTAGTTTGTACTCCTGTAGTTGTAGGTGGGACAGTTGTAGTTGATACCTCTGTAGTTGTAGATGGGACAGTTGTAGTTGGTACTTCTGTAGTTGTAGGTGGGGCAGTTGTAGTTGGTACTCCTGTAGTTGTAGGTGGGGCAGTTGTACTTGGTACCGCTGTAGTTGTAGTGTAGGTTGGACAGTTGTAGTTGGTGCTGCTGCAGTTGTAGGTGGGGCAGTTGTAGTTGGTACCGCTGCAGTTGTAGGTGGGACAGTTGTAGCTGGCACCGCAGCTGTAGTTGGTACCGCTGTAGTTGTAGGTGAGGCAGTTGTAGTTAGTACTCCTGCAGTTGTAGGTAGGGCAGCTGTAGTTGGTACCACTGTAGTTGTAGGTGGGGCAGTTGCAGTTGGTACTTCTGTAGTTGTAGGTGGGGCAGTTGTAGATGGTACTGCTGTAGCTGTAGGTGGGGAAGTTGCAGTTGGTACTCCTGTAGTTGTAGGTGAGGCAGTTGTAGATGGTACTGCTGTAGTTGTAGGTGAGGCAGTTGTAGTTGGTACTTCCTGTAGTTGTAGGTGGGGCAGTTGTAGTTGGTACTTCTGTAGTTGTAGGTGGGGCAGTTGCAGTTGGTACTCCTGTAGTTGTAGGTGGGGCAGTTGTAGTTGGTACTGCTGTAGTTGTAGGTGGGGCAGTTGCAGTTGGTACTCCTGTAGTTGTAGGTGGGGCAGCTGTAGTTGGTACCGCTGTAGTGTAGTTGTAGGTGGGGCAGGTTTAGTTGGTACTGCTGTAGTTGTAGGTGAGGCAGTTGTAGTTGATACTTCTGTAGTTGTAGGTGGGACAGTTGTAATTGGTACTCCTGTAGTTGTAGGTGGGGCAGTTGTAGTTGGGTACTCCTGTAGTTGTAGGTGGGGCAGTTGTAGTTGGTACTCCTGTAGTTGTAGGTGGGGCAGCTGTAGTTGTTGTACCGCTGTAGTTGTAGGCCGGGAAGGTTTAGTTGGTACTGCTGTAGTTGTAGGCGAGGCAGTTGTAGTTGATACTTCTGTAGTTGTAGGTGGGCAGTTGTAGTTGGTACTTCTGTAGTTGTAGGTGGGGGGGCAGTTGTAGTTGGTACTCCTGTAGTTGTAGCTGGGGCAGTTGTAGTCGGTACTGCTGTAGTTGTAGGTGGGGCAGTTGTAGTTGATACTCCTGTAGTTGTAGGTGGGCAGTTGTAGTTGGTACTTCTGTAGTTGTAGGTGGGGCAGTTGTAGTTGGTACTTCTGTAGTTGTAGGTGGGGCAGTTGTAGTTTGTACTCCTGTAGTTGTAGGTGGGGCAGTTGTAGTTGGTACTCCTGTAGTTGTAGGTGGAGCAGTTGTAGTTGGTACTTCTGTAGACGTAGGTGGGGCAGTTGTAGTTTGTACTGCTGTAGTTGTAAGTGGGGCAGTTGTAGTTGGTACTTCTGTAGTTGTAGGTGGGGCAGTTGTAGTTGGTACTGCTGTAGTTGTAGGTGGGGCAGTTGTAGTTTGTACTTCTGTAGTTGTAGGTGGGGGAGTTGTAGTTGATACTTCTGTAGTGTAGGTGGGGCAGTTGTAGTTGGTACTGCTGTAGTTGTAGGTGGGGCAGTTGTAGTTGGTACTTCTGTAGTTTTAGGCGGGCAGTTATAGTTGATACTTCTGTAGTTGTAGGTGGGGCAGTTGTAGTTTGTACTCCTGTAGTTGTAAGTGGGGCAGTTGTAGTTGGTACTGCTGTAGTTGTAGGTGGAGCAGTTGTAGTTGGTACTGCTGTAGTTGTAGGTGGAGCAGTTGTAGTTGATACTTCTGTAGTCGTAGGCGGGGCAGTTGTAGTTGGTACTTCTGTAGTTGTAGGTGGGGCAGTTGTAGTTGATACTTCTCTAGTTGTAGGTGGGGGGGCAGTTGAAGTTGACACTTCTGTAGTTGTAGGTGGGGCAGTTGTAGTTGATACTTCTCTAGTTGTAGGTGGGGCAGTTGAAGTTGACACTTCTGTAGTCGTAGGCGGGGCAGTTGTAGTTGGTATTTCTGTAGTTATAGGTGGAGCAGTTGTAGTTGATACTTCTCTAGTTGTAGGTGGGGCAGTTGAAGTTGACACTTCTGTAGTTGTAGGTGGGGCAGTTGTAGTTTGTACTGCTGTAGTTGTAGGTGGAGCAGTTGTAGTTGATACTTCTGTAGTCGTAGGCGGAGCAGTTGAAGTTGACGCTTCTATAGTTGTAGGTGGGGCAGTTGTACTTGGTGCTGCTGTAGTTATAGGTGGGGCAATTGAAGTTGACACTTCTGTAGTTGTAGGTGGGGCAGTTGTAGTTTGTACTTCTGTAGTTGTAGGTGGGGCAGTTGTAGTTTGTACTTCTGTAGTTGTAGGTGGGGCAGTTGTAGTTGATACTTCTCTAGTTGTAGGTGGGGCAGTTGTAGTTTGTACTTCTGTACTTGTAGGTGCTGTTGTAGTTGGTACTTCTGTAGTTGTAGGTGGGGCAGTTGTAGTTTGTACTTCTGTAGTTTTAGGTGAGGCAGTTGTAGTTGGTACTTCTGTAGATGTAGGTGGGGCAGTTGTAGTTGGTGCTGCTGTAGTTGTAGGTGGGGCAGTTGTAGTTGGTACTGCTGTAGTTGTAGGTGGGGACAGTTGTAGTTGGTACTTCTGTAGTTGTAGGTGGAGAAGTTGTAGTTGGTACTTCTGTAGTTGTAGTTGGTACTTCTGTAGTTGTAGGTGGGACAGTTGTAGTTGGTACTTCTGTAGTTGTAGGTGGGGCAGTTGTAGTTGGTACTTCTGTAGTTGTAGGTGGGGCAGTTGTAGTTGGTACTTCTGTAGTTGTAGGTGGGACAGTTGTAGTTGGTACTTCTGTAGTTTTAGGTGGGGCAGTTGTAGTCGGTACTTCTGTAGTTGTAGGTGGGACAGTTGTAGTTGATACTTCTTCAATTGTAGGTGGGGCAGTTGTAGTTGGTACTTCTGTAGTTGTAGGTGGGGCAGTTGTAGTCGGTACTTCTGTAGTTGTAGGTGGGGCAGTTGTAGTTGGTACTTCTGTAGTTGTAGGTGGGGCAGTTGTAGTTGATACTTCTGTAGTTGTAGGCGGGGCAGTTGTAGTTGGTACAGCTGTAGGTGTGGGCGCTGGAGGAACAAGGAAAGGCAACATTTAAGCAGATATAACTTAAAGCGTATCTAAACCCAAGAACATAAATTTATTGTATTGCAGCTTACCGGTTCTTAGATGTGGTGGCTGCATTAGTTTTCTTTTTTCACACTTTTTCCTCTTCATTTTAACCTGGTAATCCTGCTATTAACTCACTTCATGTCTTAAAACATGCCTTTTACTTACATGTGTATTTCTGGTAATGCTCCAGTTTTTTGTGCGATAACAGTTTCTATGCTACCTTTAAAATGTATATAATGAGTAATCTTTAATGGTTTCACCTACCTGGGGTTGTTGTATTTGTAAAAAAGAGATGAATTCCCCCCATGGTGCTGTTATCATCTTCCGCGTTTCTATCAAACGTTTCCTGTACTCCCATATCAGTATGGTTGCTAGTCGGGAATTCTGCAGAAGTGTTGGCGATGGTGGAGCCTCGTCTGTAAAGAAAAACACACACAAATATCTCAATTTTTCTGACCTTTTCCTGGTCATTTAGACATATTCCTCTTTCTATAAACCCAGTACTATATATCATGTGGGAACCGACAAACTGACCATGCACATTGACACCCTTAAAGCAGCCTTGTTCAACCAAACTTCCATTGAATGCTAAGGTTCCTCCACAAGTTGCTAGGAGTTCCATAAGCAATAAGAAATTCCTGCCTTGCAAATGGGTTACCACTGACTGATCTTTTTAGTTATCTGTAAGAAGAAATTCTTCCCACTGACCTCCAATGTAAGGAACATTCTTCCCACTGACCACCAATGTAAGGGACATTCTTCCCACTGACCCCCAATGTAAGGGACATTCTTCCCACTGACCACCAATGTAAGGAACATTCTTCCCACTGACCACCAATGTAAGGGACATTCTTCCTACTGACCCCCAATGTAAGGGACATTCTTCCCACTGACCACCAATGTAAGGGAACATTTTTCCCACTGACCCCCAATGTAAGGGACATTCTTGCCACTGACCCCCAATGTAAGGAGCATTCTTCCCACTGACCACCAATGTAAGGGGCATTCTTCCCACTGACCCCCAATGTAAGGGACATTCTTCCCACTGACCTCCAATGTAAGGAACATTCTTCCCACTGACCCCCAATGTAAGGAACATTCTTCCCACTGACCCCCAATGTAAGCGACATTCTTCCCACTGATCACCAATGTAAGGGACATTATTCCCACTGACCACCAATGTAAGGGACATTCTTCCCACTGATCACCAATGTAAGGGACATTCTTCCCACTGATCACCAATGTAAGGGACATTCTTCCCACTGACCACCAATGTAAGGGGCATTCTTCCCACTGACCACCAATGTAAGGGACATTCTTCCCACTCACCACCAATGTAAGGGGCATTCTTCCCACTGACCACCAATGTAAGGGACATTCTTCCCACTCACCACCAATGTAAGGGACATTCTTCCCACTGACCCCCAATGTAAGGGACATTCTTCCCACTGACCCCCAATGTAAGGAACATTCTTCCCACTGACCCCCAATGTAAGGGACATTCTTCCACTGACCCCCAATGTAAGGGACATTCTTCCCACTGACCACCAATGTAAGGACATTCTTCCCACTGACCTCCAATGTAAGGCGCATTCTTCCCACTGATCACCAATGTAAGGAACATTCTTCCCACTGATCACCAATGTAAGGGACATTCTTCTCACTGACCACCAATGTAAGGACATTCTTCCACTGACCACCAATGTAAGGGACATTCTTCCCACTGACCTCCAATGTAAGGAGCATTCTTCCCACTGACCTCCAATGTAAGGAGCATTCTTCCCACTGACCACCAATGTAAGGGACATTCTTCTCACTGACCCCCAATGTAAGGGACATTCTTACCACTGACCACCAATGTAAGGGACATTCTTCTCACTGACCCCCAATGTAAGGGACATTCTTCCCACTGACCCCAATGTAAGGGACATTCTTCCCACTGACCACCAATGTAAGGGCATTCTTCCCACTGATCACCAATGTAAGGCGCATTCTTCCCACTGACACCCCAATGTAAGGGACTTTCTTCCCACTGACCACCCAATGTAAGGGACATTCTTCTCCACTGACCTCACAATGTAAGGCATTCTTCCCACTGACCACCAATGTCAGGATCATTTATCCCACTGACCAAAAATGTAGGGAGCATTCTTCCCAATAATCCCCAATGTAAAGAGCATTCATCCCAGTGACCTTCACACTAATGTACTGTGAGCTGTAGATATAATAATTATCGGGGGTTCCCTGAGACAGAAAATTATTTCAAGGGTTCCTCCAAGTTAAAAAGTTTAAGGAAGAACTGCTTTAAAATGTATGAAAAACCAAAACTTCCAAGTTGTTTGGTGTGGGGAAGATTTAAAACCCTTGTCAACATACAGTATGTTTTGTTGTCTGTATCCTGTTGGGGGAATTTCACTTCACTTCTTGTCAACATGTAAGAAGATGTCTCAAAATTTCCCATTTAGACAGTTATCCCCGGAACAGCGGCCAAAATTGGAAGATTTCCTCCCACCTCTTATTCAAAATTTTTGATTTCCCATCACTATCTGTCTAGGTGTCATTGGTCACCAGGACCCATACAGAGGGTGAGTCTCCCCAGGGGTGATACAGACAGCAATAAAAACTTAACAGAGGATCTACTTCTTTCCTGTTCAATACAAATGTACAAAAAAAATGTTATCTGTACACACACTTTATAATAATATCCTCCAAATATAGAGAAATTAACTAGTTGCCGACCGCAGATAGCCGAATGACGGCTGCACTGCGGCCGGCCAGTTCTGAGTGGACATCATATGATGTCCTCCCAGAACACGCTCTCCTGCGCGCCCCAGGGGGCGCGCACCCGGCGATCTCCGTGATCGCTGTGTCCTACGGACACAGCTGATCACGTGATGTGGTAAAAGGCCAATCACAGCGGCCTTTTACCGTGTGATCAGCGGTGTACAATGACACGCTGATCAGAGGGAAATGCAAGTGCCGGTTCTCGGCTGCACTTTCCTCACGCTGTCAGATCGTGAGGAAAGTACTGCCGAGAACCGGCAGTTGTCAGAGCGAGGATCGGCAACGATCATCAGGGCACTGATGATCAGTGCCCTGATGATCGGTGCCCAGCAGTGCCGCCCACAAGTTCCGCCCACCTGTGCCCAGCAGTGCGCCCACTAGCTCCACCCACCTGTGCCCAGCAGATCACCCACCTGTGCCCAGCAGTGCACCCACCTGTGCCACTCTGCAGTGCCACCTACCTGTGCCCATAAGTGCCACCTACCTGTGCCCAGAAGTGCCACCCACCTGTGCCCACCCACCTGTGCCACCCACCTGTGCCCACCCACCAGTGCTGCCCACCAGTGCCACCCACCAGTGCAGCCCAGCAGTGCTGCCAGTCAGTGCCACCAGTCAGTGCCCAGGGGTTGTGCCAGTCAGTGCCGCCAGTCAGTGCCCAGCAGTGATGCCAGTCAGTGCCGTCTATCAGTACCCATCATCAGTGTCACCTATCAGTGCCGCCTATCGTGCTCCATATTAGTGCCGCCTATCCGTGACACCTCAGTAGTGCTGTCTATCAGTGCCGCCTATCCGTGCCACAGCTCATTAGTACTGCCTATCAGTGCCCTTTAGTGCTGCCTATCAGTGCCCATCAGTGCTGCCTATCAGTGCCTATCAGTGTTGCCTCATCAACGCACATCAGTGAAGGAGAAAAAATACCTGTTTGAAAAATTTTATAATAGAAACAAAGAAACTTTTTTTTTTTTTTCAAATTTTTTGCAATTTTTTTATTTATAGCGCAAAAAGTAAAGCGCCCGGTGGCGATTAAATACCACCAAAAGAAAGCTCTATTTGTGAGAAAAAAATTATCAAAATTTCATATGGGTACAATGTTGCATGACCGCGCAATTGTCAATCAAAGTGCGGCAGCGCTGAAAGCTGAAAATTGGCCTGGTAAATAAGGGGGTATAAGTGCCTGGTAGGCAAGTGGTTAATTAATAATGTTTTATTTGCCCATGCACCGAAAGAGCTGACAGTCTATTATCCCTATGACAGAAATTGAAATGCACATACATCTGGGTGGAAGCCAAGTGCCGGACGTTGGGGAGGCCTTACCCAGACTTCTGTACACTACCCCTCCCCCACATATTAACATTGGGTTAACTTACCTGAAACCATGTACAGTGACACCAATACAGTCAGGCATCGTTTGAATAATGATTAGATACGCCTGCAAGGAAAATATATATAATTAATGAGATCGATTTGTAATGCCAAAATTTAAAGGCCTTGTATTTAGAAATTAGAAATTTGATTGCACTGTTAGTCCAGCCATTTTTTATTTGATCGTTCTCGGTTTTAACGGTAAGCCAGAGAAACACTTGAGCCATTAGAAAAACATCAAACAAAAATAAATTGTCTGAACCTTTTTGAACATCATCAGAGCCCCCCCTTTATAAAAGGGTCCTCCTTTTATCAAACCCCTCCCCCTTATATCAGGGTCCCCATCAGAGTCCCCCCTACATCAGGGTCCTCCTTTTATCAAAGTTAGAGACTGTACACATCAGCTGTGGGCTCAATAAAATCCTGCAGCAGGCCATTTGTGGCCCATGAGCCATATTTGGAGACCCCTGTGTAGGCAGGAATTAGTTTCCTCTTTAGTAAGGCCCCTCCCCCCGGGGCGGTTAGTGGAGCCCTAGTAAGATAAGAGCTTGGGAACAGGTCACCCCGGGCTTACACTATGTAGAGTTGTGACCTGTGCAGGAGAGAGAGCCCTTCGGAGCTGGATTGACTGGAGGCTTTGGATGAGAACCCACAGCAGGGGGACTCATGATTGAGAGAGATTGGGAGAGTTGGCTGGACTTCATGAGTTCTGGGTCATTTGCACTGTATTGTTCTGTACTGGATGCTTGAAGAGTAATATGAAGAACTGGCTGTAGGTCAAGGTGGGGGGGCCTCAGCGCTGGAGTTCATGGGACACAATATGGCAGAGTTTCTCCTAAAGACAGATACTGTATGTGTGTACCCCATCTCAAGAAGAAGCAGGGCAGGACCCATCTTGCTTGGTGGGAAGAGGCACCAAATCCAGGTTGCTTACACTTGGCCTGCAAGATTAAATTCATGAATGCCAAGAACCAATTGAGTCCTGTCCGTGATACTTTTTTTTATTTGCGCTAACATACAATTTTCAGGACAAGCTTTCACGGTATGTCCCCTTCTTAAAGGTCCAAGCAGTACTGCTTGGACCTTGAAGAAGGGGACATACCCCGAAACTTGTCCTGAAAATTGTATGTTAGTGCAAATAAAAAAAAGTATCACGGACAGTACTCAATTGGTTCTGTTGCAAGTGCACTAATACGGCTATAATCACCTCAAGCATGTAATGCTAAGGAACTCCTAACAATCGTGCTCATACTCACATATTTCCTAATCTTCGCACTGAGTTCCTTGTATGGTCTGGAGGTAGGAACGTTATAGTCTTCCAAGAATTCCAGATCCATTATTATATTAACAAAATAGCTAATAGTTTTAGGTTGAGCATTTGTGGGCCTCTTTGATGTTGTGGTTGTTGGTATTGTAGTCGTGGTCAGTTCTGTTGTAGTTGTTGGTGTTGTAGTTCTGGTTGCAGCGGTTGATGGTGTATTCCGTGCTGCTGTAGGTCTTGGTTTTGCAGTTGTATTCGATGCCGTTTTAGTTGTTGTCAGTGCTGCTGTAGTTGTTGGTACAGCAGTTGTCAGTGCTGAGTTAGTTATAGTGGGTGTAGTTGTAGAAAGTACTACTGTATTTGTAGATGGTGCATTTGTAGTTTGTAATGTTGTAGTTTTGGGAGCTGCAGTTGTTGATGCTGCATCAGTGGTGCTACTGTAGTTGCAGGTGCTGAAGTTGTACTTTGTGGGGATAAAGTTGTGGTTTCTGTGCTTGCAGTCAGTGCTGTTTTTGTAGATGCTGCAGTAGTGATGTGTGCTAATGCAGTTGTAGTCTGTGCTGATTTAGTCATATCTGTATTAGATGTAGTCATTGCTGCTGTAGTTGTAAGTGCCGATGTTGTAGACAGTGCTGCTGTACTTTCTGCTGTTGAAGTTGTCAGTAGAAGGTTGTACTGTAGCTGTGGTTGCTGCAGTTGTAAGCAGTGTTTTTAGTAGTTGTGGATTCTGCATCTGACGGTGCTGAAGTTGTTGTTGGCACTGCAGTTGCTGTTGTCCTAGAAGCCTTTGGACCTGAAGTTGTTGGAGTTAGAGCCATTGTTGGAGCTGTTGATGCTGTGGTTGTTGGAGTTACAGCTGTTGATGGTTGCAGTTGTTGAAATTAGAACTGTTGTTGGAGTTTTGATGCTGCAGTTGTTTTTTTTTGTTGGAATTGTGATGCTGCAGTTGATGGATGTTAGAACTGTTGTTGGAGCTGTTTGATGCTGCAGTTGTTGTTGGAGGCGGAGCTGTTGATGCTGCAGTTGTTTGTTGAAGGTGGAGCTGTTGATGCTGCAGTTGTTGGGGTTTTGAACTGTTGTTGAAGCTATTGATATTACAGTTGTTGGAGTTAGAGCTGTTCTTGAAGCTGTTGATGCTGCAGTTGTTTGTTGGAGTTTGAACTGTTGCTGGAGCTGTTGATGCTGCAGTTGTTGCTGAAGTTAGAGCAATTGTTGGAGCTGTTGATACTGCAGTTTTTGAAAGAGGTTAAAGCTGTTGCTGGAGGTGTTTTGATGCTTTGGCTGGTTGGAGTTAGAGAAGGTGTTGGAGTGGTTGATGTTGCAGTTGATTTTGGAGTTAGAAACTGTTATGGAAGCTGTTGATGCTGCAGTTGTTGTAGGGTTTGAACTGCTGTTTGAAGCTGAATGATGCTGCAGATGTTGTTTGGTAGTTAGAACTGTTGTTGAAGCTGCTAATGTTGTGAGGTTGTCATTGGCGTTAGAGCTGTTGTTGAAGCTGTTGATGATGCAAGCTGTTGTTGGGGTTAAAGAATTTGTTGGAGCTGCTGATGCTTCACTTGTACTTGGACTTAGAACTGATGTTGGAGCTGATGATGATGTAGTTGTTGTTGAAGTTAGTGCAGTTGTTGGACGTTGTTGATGCTTCACTT